CCGCTGCGTGGACCTCAACACCCGCTGTGATGGGGCCGCTCTAGACACTCCTGGGTTGGGGTTCTCCAGCTTCACCCCCACCTCCTCTCTCTTCTGCCCCTTCTCTCTGCAACCCCCTCCCTGCCTGCCTCCTGGTCACGTCTGTCTGTCCACCAGCCGCCGGGGCCGGCCCCGTCTTCCTGAGCTCGGTGAGGAGGGCTCTGGCCCGTGAGGCCGAGGCCCCCTGCCCTGCCCTGCCCGGCTCCCATCAGCCCCCTGCCTGCCCCATGCAAGTAGCCGGCCCTGTGGCTGTGGGGCCTCCTCAAAGGGCCTGCAGCCCTCTCCGGGGACCCTGAGAGCCACGGGCGGCTGAGCCCCCGTGTGAGTCGTCTCCACTGGCTCAGGCCTCGCTTCTACCTCAGGGGGCTCCTCCCTGAGACAGGCCCAGGCGGGAGGCAGGGCTCCCTGTCCCCTCCTCACGTCCACCCCGTCTGCCAGCCCCCAGGGCCTCTGGCGTCCTGAGCTCCAGCCGGAGGGGCTCAGGGACCGTGGAAGCCGAGGGCCCCCTGCCCACCCATGTAAGTGACGTGGCTCTGCACCCCGCCAGGCATGGCTCAGTGGCCAGGCAGCGGCAGCACCGAGGGAGCCCTTGACGGTGGGCAGGCCTGTGGCCGAAGGAGCAGAGGGCCTGCCTCTGCCCACGTGTCCTCCCCACGGCTGGCGGGTCCCTCACATCCTCACCCTCCATCCTGTCACCTGCCTCCCAGGCCTGTCACATTGTCCTGGGCCAGGTGCCCCCTTGGCTGGCACCTCTGCTCCAAGCAGCTTCCCATGTGACCCTTCCATCCTCCCATGACTCCCAGTGTCCCCCTATTTCCCCCACAACCCCTCCATCCTCTGCATGTCCCTCATGACCCCCTTTTCATCCTCCACCCCCCGTGACCCCCTCTGTCTCCCCAAGTCCCCCATGACCTCCTCTGCTTGGCTGTCAGCCCTCAGGTTTCCTCTCTTGCACGCCCCCCCCCCTCGTGTTCACATCTGTTCTGTTCCACCTCAGCCCCCAGGATCTCTGACATCCTGAACACAGTGAGGAGGGGCTCAGGGACCCCAGAAGCCCAGGGCCCCCCACCCTGCCCGTCTCTGGCTCTCCCAGGCCCCCCACCTGCCCCAAGTAAGTAACATCTCGAGGGGCCCTGCGCTGTCTCCCGGGCTCTGTGCTGTGGAGACCCAGGCCACAGTGTGGGTCCTCACTCCCCCACCCCCGCTCTGGGAAGGGCAGCTGGGGGCACGGAAGAGGCCGGGGCTTCCACGTGAGGTGCCTCTGGCCTCTCAACCGGAGTTCGTGGCTAGAGACGGGCATGAACACCCGTGTCCGTAAGCACCTGAAGACGGTCCAGGGTGAGTGGGGCCTGCAGGCAGCGAGGCTCCTGGAAGCGGAGGGGCCAGCGGCTACAGGGGCGCCCGGGCGTGCATCTGGCATCCCTCCGGCTGGGTCCGGGGCTGAGGGCAGCTCCATGGGGGGCTCCCTGGCGAGGGGAGGCCTGGCTTGGCAGCAGAGGCCTCAGCCAGCTGCCCCCCAGGAGGGAGGAGCGAGCTGCTGGCCCGTCTGCGGACTGCCCGCCAGTATCGCTTACAGGGATGGATGACACCCCGGGCTCAGCCACCCCCACCCGTGGGGAGGCTCCGGGCTCAGAGGAGAGGCAGCGGGCAGGGGCAGGCATGGCGGGGGAGTGGCTGGGTGAGTGCGGCCCCTGCCCACCCTGTGGGCCAAGCGGGGGGAGGCTGAGGCTGAGGCAGGGCGGCGGGAACTGGCTAAGCCGTGGGGCAGGGCTGGCGGCCTGTGGCCTGCTGGCCAAGGCCCTGTGGACGGCCCTGCCGAGAGGGCTCTGTGCTTGGCTGGAGGGGCCAGGGCCTGAGTGGGGCCCCTGGGTGTCCGATGGGACTGAGGGGTTGGGGCGAGCGGGGGGTGGCACCACTCGGCCAGTGGTGGGATGGGGTGAACCTGGTAGGCACACGGGACTCAGGGGTGCAGCGTCTCGTCTGAGTTCAGAGGCTCCATGTCCCAGACCCGGGACCCGTGCCCGAGGCTTGGAGACCTGCAGGGATGCTCCCAGGGGGCCACCTGCATGGACCAGCCCAGGCTGCAGCCCTTCCCGTGGGGCCAGCGCAGCAGCCCGGCAGGCTCTGGGGACAGGCCTGCGTGGGGCTGCAGCCTGGCTCTGCCTGTTTAGGGTCTGACTGGAGCTTGACTAAGGGTCGTGGGGACCACAGAGGGGCCGTGAGCAGGACTAAATGGCAGGGGATGGGTTCTGGAGCCAGCAGAGGTGGCTTGGCCTGGGGGTGGGGCATTGGGGCGCCGAGGGCAGGGGCCTCCCAGCCAGCCTCCCTCAGGGAACAGGGTGAGTCTTGCTCCTGGATGTGCCCCACTTGAGTTCCTGGCACCCCAGCAACTTGAGTGTGTGTGAGTGTGGACGGGAGGGTCCCCAGGTGACAGGACGGGGTGGGCAGCTTGGGGAAGGACTGTCTGGGGCTGAGGTCTGCTCTCCATGGGTCTGAGCAGGTGAGCCAACCCCAGGCGTCCGGTCTCCAACTTGGGGATGCCCAGCACGGAGGCCCAGGCAAGGGGTGTCCCGGGGGGCGGGGGAGAGAGGCGCAGGCGCCGTGGGCCCTCCTCTCTCAAGTGCACGCCGCCAGCTGTCTCGGTGTGTGATGGGGTCGTGCTCACTGGCCAGGCTGCATCTCCGTAATCAGGATTATACACCATCCTGACCCTGCAGCTGTCTGCCTGGATGGCTGGGCCCCGCACCCCGGCAGACACCAAGGCACAGGGCTTGGTGCCAGCAAGGAGTCACCGGGGTGCCCTGGGCCCCTGGCCAGTGGTGGGAGCAGTGGCCCCCCTGAGCTGGTTCGTGTCCACAGATTTATGCTGTGAGCTCAGGAATGTCCCGTCTACTTAATACTTTCTCACACCAACTCCCATTTTAAATTACAATTTGTTTAAAAACACTCAATAGTTCACCCTAGTGAGAGGCGAGGGTCATTTACAATAGCCGGTGACTATGGCCTCAAAGTGCAGGGGAACCAGCAGGAAAATGTCTCTCGGCTCCACGGGGGCTGTGGCCAGGGCTCGTGGGCGGGGCAGCTCCGCCGTCTGAGAAGGGAGATGACCAGGTCAGTGGAGGTGGAGGGTCCGGGCAGGGGCTGGACTCACCCTGAGCAAGGGGCCCGGACAGGATGAGGCAGGAGCTGGCAGCTGTGGGAAGGAAGTGGCCAGGCCTCACGGGGAGGGTCTGGGGGGACGATGGGCTGCAGACAGGGGAGCCTGAAGCTGGAAACGGCCTCCACGAAGGTGATGCTCAGCATTGGGACTCGCCCAGGCAGAGGGCGGAGAGGTGGGCCGGCCGCGAGGCCTGCACGGAGACCTGGGACCTGGGGAGCTGGAGCCGCAGCCCCTCCTAGAGGCCAGCCTCCAGGGCCAAACCTGCTGGTCAGACAAGGGGCAGGAAAGGAAGGCAGCACAGAAGCAGAAGTGCCCAGAGGGGCCTTTTCAAGACGGGAGCCTCCGCACGCAGACGGGCACACGCTCCCACCTGACACGCATGTGCGTCACCCACCCCTCAGGTGTCAGACGCGTGGGCTCACACCTGCAGGCAGCGTCTTCTGCCACAGGCTCAGTCCCCCTCCAGGTGGGTTCCCGGGACAGGGAGCGCCCAGACAGCCCCAGGGGCAGCCGGCCTGGACCACGGGCACATGCCTCTGAACGCCAAGTGCGTGGGGAGCTGAGCCCCTGGCAGCCTCAGAAGCCCATCCCATGTGGCAGCCCTGCAGAGTTCTTTCAAGCCATGGGGTCATTGCTTTCAGAGACCACCGCTGTGTGTGCATGCCTGTCCGTGCGGGCACAGAAGTGGTGCAGACCTACCCAGGGACAGTGAGTGCGGAACAAGATTGAGGGGACACAGGCACCTGCAACTATGAGAGATGTTATTTCTTTAAAAAGCATCTGGAGCCAATAGGACAATGTCCAGATTTGAGTCCGCCCGGAGTGGCTGGATTATCCTCTCTGCTTCTTCCATGTGTTGAAAATATTTTGCACAAAAATAAATGTACTTAGAGACAAAGGGCCCCGGGCAACCACCCTGGGGCCAGGCCTGCTGAGGCCGAGGCCAAGTAGGCGGGAGCCTGGAGGATGGCGGAGAGGGCGGGATGGACGAGTGGTGTGCTGGCTGCACCTGGGCCCAGGACTGCAAGCAGGTAGAGACCAGAGGAGGCGCAGGCCAACACCTGGTTGGCTGCCTTCCCGGGGGACGGGGGAGGCTCATGCACTCTGCTCTCTGAGCTGCCTGGCCTTTGGGCAGAGTCCTCCCCGAGCCCCCAGTCTTCTCCCTGCTGTGCTTGCCAGCCCTTCCTAGTCCCCTGGAGCAGTGGTCGGCAAACCGTGGCTCTCGAGCCACATGCGGCTCTTTGGCCCCTTGAGTGTGGCTCTTCCACAAAATACCACGTGCGGGCGCGCACGTACAATGCGATTGAAACTTCGTGGCCCATGCACAGAAGTCGGTTTTCGGCCTGGGCGAGTCTATTTTGAAGAAGTGGCGTTAGAAGAAATGGGGGGTGTCGGTCGGTCGGTCTGGGCTGGACAGTTTGGGCGCAGGGCTTCGGTCCCCTGGAGGGGAGAGGAGAGGTGGGGCGGGCGGTGGCCGTGGGTCACTGGGCCTCTCCCTGCAGCGCGGAAGCAGGAGATCATCAAGATCACGGAGCAGCTCATCGAGGCTGTCAACAGCGGGGACTTCGAGGCCTACGCGTGAGTCGGGGCCTGTGTGGCTCCTTGGGCAGCCTGGGGGATGGGTGGGCTGAGTGTCCCCCGAAGAGAGGGCTGGACGCCCTGGGTGGGTGCAGAGGGGGCCCTCCTCACCTGGGTCTGCCCCCCAGGAAAATCTGCGACCCAGGCCTGACCTCGTTTGAGCCTGAAGCTTTGGGCAACCTGGTCGAAGGGATGGACTTCCACAGGTTCTACTTCGAGAACTGTGAG